GGGGGGGGGGGGGCGGGGTCTTGAGCTTGCTTCGCTTGCCTTGGACGACCTTGCCCAAGAGCGACGCATGGTTCAATGGTACAGGGAAAACACTCACACTTCTAGCCACGGCACGGTACCAGGTTTTATAATCACAAACGCACAAGTGTGTTTCATGAAGTAATAAGACAAGCTATCCAGAAAAACAACGCCCGGAAACAACGAAAGAAACGGTCTACTAGGCACCTTGCCGAGAAGCATAGCCGCTCGCTCCACAATACCTGGTCGACCGTACGCTGGGGACTCTGCACGGGCTGGAACACGAATATCAATCCCAACCCTACCCGATACTAGGTGGAAACGCCACCAATATTCGTTCTGCCTAAAATAGCTCGACAACACCTGACTGCGTCCAACACCTTGGGGGTAAAAAGCACTCTCGCTTCGCATCGAGGAGCACCTTGAGGCATCGCAGGGGTTCCGCCGCGACATGTTGCCCCCCCCCGCTACTCGGTCCTCTCGAGGACGCGTGGCCAAAGGTCCAACAACTGATGCATCAAAACATGAGTACGCCCCCCCCTCCGTCCCAACGTTTTATGGTAAAATTGACCGGTTTACCATTGTCCTTGTCTACTGCGGAGTACATGATTGGGTGTGTTTTGGTTTTTGTTGAGTGTTCTATTTTTCAGTATTGGGGACGCAATAGAGGGGCGGAGTTACCTCGTAGTAGAGGGTCTCTGGCCGCTGTCGTTTAATTCGGTGTCCCCACAGAGGTACCACCCAAGGGTCCTCCTTGCCGTAGATAAGAGCCATGGGCACCTGAATGCGGTCGATCATTTCCTCGAAGCTCATTGAAACCTGTAGGAGCGGGGCAGCAGCGGTCAGCCGATACCGCCCAGCAAGTCCAACAGGGACGATCGTGAACGACGACAACGATGCGTTGGCCCTTCAAGCCAAAGCCAATGAGCATCAGCACAGATACAAACTCAGCGTTTAAGTTTGCAGGGTATCACAACTCGCAGGACGAGGGAAGCGAAGCATACCCGAAACGTGCGCGTTGCAGGAGTACTCCACGGCCTCCACCCAATATTTTCGTAACTTGCATCTTCCCAGTCCAAGATGTCTCGACTACTTGTTCTTCCTGTCAATGCTCGTGGTGGACAATATAGCCTTGAGACCTACTCCACCGCATCACGCCCGCCCGTTCGATTTCCGTCTCTTATCCGGCCAACACTTCCCACTACACGTGGAACCCCCAAGGTCGCTTTATTGGGATGATGGCACGGGAACACGGGAACTCATATCTTGCCGGTTTGAAGAACGCGAGAGTCGTGAAGGCAGTGGGAATGCATCAAAACGTGCATCAGAATGTTTTGTTTTCTCTTGAGGCGACGAAAACAGCAAAAACCGCCGCCTTCACCTTCGGCGAAAACACGATGCTCGTAAACGCCTCGTGCCCGCCCACGCCGTAATCATGGTTGCTCGGGCCTCGCCCTGTTGCTGCGATGATCTCCGACACCACCTCATCTCCGATGGCCTCTGATCTCCGAAAAAGAAACAGTTTGAGCACATGTTGTGCGACCCCATAAGTGTTTTCGCACCAGGTCCCGTAGGCAACAGTAAGGCGCAGGGGGGCAAAGGGGCGTGACGAATCAGTAGACACGCCAGTGTGCACGACATCTGGGTGGAAGTGGCAAAGAGGTCAGTGCAACGAGCTGAAGAGGGTTCAATCGGTATACTTTTGACCGGGTGCAACACACCTGTACCCGACATGAATGCACGCAAAGACGTAAGAAGCATATGGCGCAGCTCAAGATGTTTTGCCAACTATAAGTATACAATAGTGATGAAAGTCCATGGTTGAGAAGGACGCTCGCTTGGCGGCGCAAATTGTGAGGCGATGACGTCCAAGCGAGTCCGTTCGCTTGGTAGGCATGATACGAGTAAGGCTCCATCGCACGCAAGGTCGGTGGGTGTAAGCGGACGGTAAGGGCCGTAGGGTGCACGGCAGCTTTAGACACACACTACACAATGTTTTTAGCCGACTGAAACTTTTCGTTGGTCCACCGGTTAGCGCGGTCGAGGCTAAACAAACACACCCACATATACTCAACACGGTTGGCCTTGCGACGACAACACACACCACCAACAGCATGGTCGAAACTGATACGAAAACAACCAGCACGCACGAAACATCAACCAACGGAGCGAGGATGCCTCTCATCAACCGAGATCGCTAAATGCTTCCGTTTACCCGGGTTGCTGTAGACGGCGCCTAGCATGCTCTTTACGGTCCGAGGGTCCCTCATGCGGTCGAAGTACCACGCCCCGAAGCGGAACAAACCCGCCGGGGCGGGCAAAGTCCCATCCCAGCCTAGCCAATCCCCCCTTCCCTCTACCGGGGACTCTCCCTTTGTCGCGGGGCTTCCCGGAACAATCTCAGAATCCGTGGGGATCCCCGTACTCGTAGCGGATCCAGTCGAAATATCTCTGGTCGCGGAAAGATCCGTGGAGGGGTAGGGATCCGTAACGTCCCCTCCATTTAAGGCGGCGTTGGCGCTAGGCTTTCGAAACGCCCAAAAAGGTGTGGCATTCATGAGCGCCAGTCCTAGCACGGCGCGGGGGTAGTTCGCGGCGAGGTTGGCGGCGATGTATCCTCCCAGGGAGTTCCCGGCGACGTAGGCCGGCTCTCCAATTACTTCGTTGATGAAAGCAAGGACCTTTATTGACGGTCGCAAGCCGAATGCAGGTCCGGGGTGTGCGAGAAATTGACTCTTTAGCTAGCATCGGCCGCGCTAACCCAGGCCCGCTGGAAACAAAGCGGAGGGGGGTGCGTACTTGTAAGGTAACCAAACACGCCATTTTTCTGAGGCCGTTGCTCCCGAAAAACGGGACAAGGCGAACAAGACAAGGTGAGGCAGGTGTGGGAGTTCAAGTTTGTCTGCGACATGTTCGGACAGTGCAAGGTCCCATCCACTCGCAATGGCATCACCGTGAGCAAACCGGCGCAAACACCCTCCACGCCGAAGCACGGCATGCAGTTCTTCCTTCGTTGCACTGGAGTGCCGTAGGTGACATGACGTAAGATAGCACACCCCCTGGACTCATTTTCAACGCTCCCTCACTCGACAGCAGAAGAACGGTGGTGCCGACAACGGCGGCGTTGGAACTGTATCGTCGAGAGCTTTCCGATAACGTACCGTTGGATTGCGCATCCTCGTTCTTCGTCGAGCAAACGAGATTTGAAAATTGGTCCTGGGGATGTGGTACTTGTGTCACCCACGGCAGGTATCGTTTTACTCGAAGTTGTCTACGAGGAAAATGCGGGGAGATGTACTCTGAATCCAGCTCGCAACGGACCATACGGGGGTCGCTTTGTCAACAAACGGCGAACCTGCTCTGTCCACATGTCGACGCTGTAGCACAGGCCGTCCTCACGAGATGGGACACGGGTGGGCCAGCTCTTCCCCTGCCCGAGAAGGTCAATCGAGTACACGTCGCGCGTCTCGGACAGCTGCAACCACGGGTTGTGGCGGTCGCCCGTTTCGGGGAGCAGAGAGCGGGGCCAGGACAGGCAATCGTAACCATAGAGATAGCAAACAAACGAACCGAAGGGGTGGAAGTCAAGTTAATACGTATCTAATTAGGAATATCGGAACGTGACTGTTAATCCAAGATCTCGGCAATCGGTAAGCCCACCCTCTGCAATCGGTCGATTCAGGGAAATAATAAAAAAAAACAATGTAGGTTAACTCGGCAAGAGCATGTGCCGGGGGGGGGGGGGGGAGGGGGGGTATTCATAATCGTGCATGCCGTAGTCGTTAGACCATTGACCTTCGCATCCCTCCAAAACGTCGGGACGGAGCACGCCGGGTTCTCACCGCACCAGGCTCTCACATCACCAAGCGCGAAGCGCCGTGAGGTATTCGGCGAGTCGCATGAAGGGTTCGCTGCATCCTGCCAAGGGTGTTCGGCATCTTGTGCTTACTTCCTTGCGTACGGATGGCAGCTGCGTATGACTTAATTTGTTTTCTGCATGCGACGGGGGGGAGCGAATTTGTAGGCCGTAACCATTGATACCTGGGTAGAAAACGTCTGTTGAGAGAAAGACGCTTCGCGACACACCTACTCTGATAGTGCCCACGTACCTCTTGCATGTTCCTCCTGAAGTGAAAAGTCCCCACGCCGAAGCCTGGGAGCAGGAGAAGAGGTGTCGTTGAACCCTCCCGTCGGCGTTGCCCCCCACCTTCCCCTTCCCGTTCCCCGGCCGCCGGCCGCCTGCTGGTTGCGCGCTCGTAGTGTACTTCCCATCCGTTCCGCCAGTGCCAAACCCCGCTCCTCTATCCGGTTTCAATCGTTTGGAACGGGTTTCGATCAGCCAACTTGTCTTCTTATGTCGCATATCATGAATGCAAACGATCCACGCGAGAGCTACGAGCTCAACACCTCCAAAGGTTGGCTCAACGTTTTTTTTTACGGTTCGAACATGTAGCCGAAACACCCTGTATCACCAACTTAAGCGTTGCCACAATGGGTTTCCACGGTTCGAACATGTAGCCGAAACGCCTTGCATCACCAACTTCAAGCGTTGCCACAATGGGTTTCAATGTTCAGGATCGGTTTCCTGTGTTCCTGTTGCGGAGGATTCGAGGTTTCGATGCGGACACGCCGGTAGTACGGACTGCAGGTGTTCCCCAAGCGGGTATTGACTCGAGCAAGGGCTGGGAAGGGAGGCGGTATTTACCGTAGCCATTGTTGGGGAAGCTCTAGTCGGCTTCCTGCAAGTTCGGGATTTCAAAAGTGTGCCGGACACGTGGCGGCTTGCAGGTTCCACACGCGTCAACGAGCGGCCTAACTCTGGCGGTGCTGTATCGTGAAACGTTTCACAACACCCTCCGGCCTTGTCTGTTGCTATCTTTTTTCGATGTTTCTCACTCTGTACCCACCTCGGTGACGGGACTGTCAACAATAGTGCCTTCAATCAACAACGAATATTAGAAGGGCATATAGGGTTCAGTGAAGAACAACAGCTCAGCCTGCCAGAAAGCAGGCCAGGGAAGTGGTTCTACTCTGCAGGGGCATGCAACTGCATGTGGTCGGGAATTGTTGTGTGCAAAGGGAAGGAGGATGAAAAGGCCACAGGCATCGCCGGGTGTGATGATCTTCATTTGCGCAAAAAGGTGGTACAATTTACATGTAGACTACATGTGCAGAGTCCCAGCTGCCGAGAGGAGAGCTGCCGGCACCTACCGGAGCACTCGTTTCATCCCCATCTGCTATGGTGGGGCTACCGCCCGTTGATGGATCCCCGGCTGAGGTTGTGGACGATCGCAGTCTGGTAGTCGAAGACCATGCGCCAGGTTGAAGAAATGCGGCGCAACCTCGAGCATCAGCAGGAGGACGATAATTTGAAATTAGCAACGCTTTCACAGAGACGCACGTCCAGCAACAGCCGAGATAGACGGCAAACCCGACCTTTGCCACCGCGTTCCTCCTCAAGGACTTCAGTCTGAGGCCTTGCTTACACGTTGGCGCCATCACTCTCTTTGCTGGGTAGCACAAGGGAAGACACCCGATCAGCGATTCATGTGTCGCTTTACATGTCGGGGCTCCGTCAATTCTCTCAGGGGCTCCGTGGAAGACTTATGAACTGCTACAGCAGACGTTCTGATCACAGCACACAGCACCCACCCACTGCCCAGGGCCACCAGCAGCGGTGTCCGGCTTGTCCACTGCTTCTCCTGCCGCGGTGTCGATCCGATCAGCAACACACACAGCATCGTCAAAGACAGAACAGAAATGAACCCAGTCGCGAACCGGCATGATGATTTTTGTTCCACGCAACTCCACGGTGCTGTACTTGGGGGTTCCATCGAGCGTACTCTAGCCGTGCTAGCAACCGGATCTGTTCACATCGATCAAGGCAATGCCGAAGGCCTAGCTCCGCTCATGATGGCCGCTATGATGGGCTACTCGCACATTGTGAAGATCTTGCTCGAAAAGGGGGCCAACGTGTCAAGCGTGGCTGACCCCGGCATCACGGCTCTACACGTTGGTTGTGCTCAAGAGGGACCCTTCGCCGTTGTTGAGTTGTTGATTGGGGATTGGGGCTGGTGCGGACGTCGAGGCGACATCTGAAGGATGCACACCACTTCACCTGGCTACAGAAAAAGGAAGCCCTGAGGCGGTGAGAGCGTTGATCGAAGCAGGCGCGAATCCCGACCGTCGAACGCCAACCTCGGCGTGGCACCGCTGCACATACATCGCGGCTAGGAGTGGACCCTTGGATACGTTGAGGGAGCTGCTTCGTTTGAAGGCGAATCCGTTATTGGAGTTTGAGCCACCCCCATCATCAGTAGGGTGCGGTTCCGCCCCACTAGACATAGCTGCCCAAAACGGGCACTCGGACATTGTGCGCGAGCTAGTTGAGCAACTTGGGATTGAAGGTTGTGATCCTAAAAAAGGAGGTGAACCAGCTCTCCACGTTGCCGCGTCGGATCAGCACGTGGATATCATGGCCATCCTGACTGGAGCCGGCGTGGTCGACACGACGGGCTTAGCTCTCATTGGTGCCGCCGGACATGGCCGTGAGGTGTCCGCCAAGTTTCTCTTGCGGCAGAGGCACAAGGAGAGTAAAGGTAGATAGAGTTGAAGATGCGTACATTAACGCCCGCATACTGAAGACTACACGCCCCTGGTTTTCAGTATTCACGGGTGCTTCTCGCAAGCTCCAAGGATCGCGCGGTTGCTCGCAGATGCTGGAGCAGATATGACATGGGCCGTTCAAGTCATGAACTCGATGGGAGAGCTGATATTCAACGGCACTCCTCTGGCTTTCACAACGTCACGCCTCCGCGAGAAGATAGCGAACGGCCAACCCGCTACGGAGGAGCACCTGCACACGCTGGAGGCCATCCGCCGCTTGCTGTTGCGAGTCGAGGCATGCATGCGGTGTCTTACCTATGGCCAAGCGATGCTCTCTTCATCGGCCATGCAGCAGGGAGTTCTCGTGGTCCCGAGCCGAATTCCCCGTCGCTCAGGGTCATGTTGCCGATCCTGCAGCGACGGACAAAGAGGCGCGGTGTGCTTGACGCAACGCTGTTGAGGTGAGCAGAGTGATTGGTCATTGACCGCATGACATGAAGGGTTGTGTAGACGGAACTCATCCCGGGTATGGATGCGTGTTTTCAGCTGTAGAGATTCGCACTGCGGTAGGCCCTACCCCGAGACCTCAGAACACGGTAGGACCTCGTGAATCGCGATCAGGCAGCGTCCGCAAACGTTGTTGGGGGCAAGTAGATTTAAGTGAGGGTGTCACATGTTCTCAACCGGGGCACGGATCTGTATTTTTGGCAAGTCCATGAGTCGTATGCCTGCTGGTCTACCGTTGCCACCACTTGTGTCGTTCCACCGAATTCACGGTTCGACCATATTTTGGGTCAAGCCATCCGCTCTGGAACTGCGTCATTCTCAGAAGTACAAACAATCCGCCCGCCTTGGCAAGATGGGTGGTGATATTAGCCGTTGCTCAGCAGAACTACTGCCACGATGCGTTCGCTCCCACTGCAACGTCTTGGGTGTTCGTTCCACCATTCATCACAATCACGTGCTTACTTGCAGGCATTCGGTGAAGGCGTGACCGGGATGAATTAGCGGGGAGAGCCAGATCGCGGAATTTGCCGCGCTCTCGCTTCCGCGCGAGAGAAAAGTGGCCGTGACTATCTGTTAGAGTTCTCGGAGATTCGTGGGCGCAAGCCACGCAGAACTGACATGTCGGAGGAACAGAGGATGCGTTTGTGTGAAGAGCGTGTTCCGCGTATTCTAGACGATCTCGTACGTGCATTGTATCATGCCGCCGGTGTTGATGCGAACATTCTGTTCAACCACATGGTAGAAGGGGGACAAAGCTGAACAACTAACTCTGATCACTGCTGTCCTGCTCTTGGGTGTGCTGAGCGATTAACAGTGTAGCTGTAAGAAACGTCAGTTCGGGGCTTAATTTCTTGTTTCGCCACCAACGTCGAGCATAGGTTATTATATAGAGTTTAGTGTACGATCCACGGCGGAGGTGTGTTTCTTGGTCGATTTTTTCTTATTTGTCGCCAAAATCTGAGCCTTAGACTCCATAGGAGTAGTTTATTTATACGGTTTGTTCCTTTAGTTACGGGCGTTGACTTCTGTATGCCGCCGTCGTACCAACGCTGGCACCCGGCGAATATAAATTATTTGTGGTCATGATACGACGATGACGCCCACATGCTAGCGCCGGCGGCCAGGTGGGAGAGAGTCTAAATGATTAGGCCCTCTGTACGACCAGGTGCCCCACTCCCACCACCGAAAAAGGGTCCCATCGGGACAATATTCTCTGTCGCGATGGGTCCACTTGGTCAACGATGAATTAAGTTGGCCGAACTACAGTAGGTCGCTGGCGGCATCGACGCGGAACTGGTGGTCGCTGCGAGCTCAGTACCGGCCTTCACCAGCATCCATCATACATGTTGTTTTGATGTATCGTGCTTTCGGCCAGCTATGGTTGTGGGGCAGCAAGTGTCACACCGTAAAACCGACATCTTTGACATCTCGCTTTTCCTTCGCTCAGCAGGATCTTTGCTCGTCAGGATCCTGACGACCCGCGATCACGGCCACAGTCCAGTGACCTGAACTGGTTTTTGGAAGAAACCGAGAAGAAAAACGTTTATTTTGTGTATCAACCGTTGGTCGATCCTCAGTTGGCTTTGTTCGATGGAATCATCAGGTGTGACGTGTGTCCGGCAGCTCATTCAAAGGGCCGTGATGCCAAATGTGGGAACGGGTAGGTATCGAAGGCTTCGTTTGTCCGCAAAGACGAAGAGGAAGATAGGGGTAACGAGAGAAAACAGTAGTACCGATCGCGCTCGATCTTGGTAGCCTCGAAAAAATCGAAGTCCAAGAATTTGGTCGCAAGAGCAGGTGGTCAGTTTCGACGTGGTACCAAGCACACGAACGGCACCTTTGCGAGGGAGCACCGCATAGCAAGGGGGGGGGGGTCCTACCATCGCAGAGCTGCGGTAAGATCGGCCCAACAGTGTCGAGAGAGGAGGGCAGGAACCCCCAACGGGCCATTGGGACCACTAGACTACGGAAGAGTTTTGATTTTATAATAGGCGACGCCGCGTTATAACAGGCGACGCCGTGTTTGCACTTCTACACCACTGATGAATGCGGCAAACGTCTGATGGCGGTGCGTTGGATCCAGACGTCTTCTTGGACGACGTTTTTTATGCGTTGTTTTTTCTGTTTCACGCTGCTCTCAGAGTCAAATTGGCATCCACCCAGAAATAGACAGCTGGAAAGAGAGACCCGTCTCCACTGCATGGGGCCCTCGGCGTAGAAATAAGAATCAAGAACAAGAACCGCCTGTTTGCCCTATATAGGCGGCTGCTTGCTCGGATATGAATTTGCGAAATGCCTGTAGAAACAAGAACATGCGGGCGCCATCCGTAGGGGAAACAGGAAACAGGCAGGGAAAAGGACGACGTATGTACCCATTGGCCGCCGCACGCCCCCTGTCCTACAGTCTCTTAGTGATGAAATCATGATAGATGAGATGCCAGCACGAAACAACACATACATGTGGTCGCCGAGGTAAACAGATTTGTGGTCAAAGACTAAGCCCATCTCCTGAAATCCGTAAGCTAGCTCACTGCAACCGCCGTGGCGAAATATAACGGACATGCACTAACGCGAAAAATTTAGAGGCCCCTTGCCGACCTTCAACACGTTCCATTCATTCCTTGCGAACCAACGAAACACTACCGCATGCCGCCGAATCGGAGGCCGACAAAAATATCACAGAAACGTGACCACCAAGTAACCGGGGAAAGCATGTGGCCAGGCAAGGGTGCACGCAGGCATGGAGGCGTACAACAGCCTACCAAGGCAGGCGTAACAACAAGGTTGTACGGTTTTTTCTACCAGGAGAGTGAGGAGGTTTTTGCCCAGAGCTGCGGGGAGAGGCGCTACTTATACTCCTACAGAGTAACCAAAGTGCACGCGGAACAGACAACGGAGTAACAAGGCACAACAACAACAGCAGCAACGAAGAAAACATGAATACATGCAATCGGGTGAACCACTAAAGCTTGAGGAATACACGGATTCCCTCCGAAGTGGGCTCATGAGAGCACAGCAGTGTCACAAAAAAGGGGCCATGCAAGATAAAAATGGAAGAACCATGCGCCGTGGCCCCCCATGTTTGAGGGGATGTTAGCAAAATGACGAGGCTCATGCGTCTCGCTCCCATGCACCGCCTGCCACACATTGGCCGAAGCCACCTTTTCCGTTCTCTTTGGGGGGGGCAGCCTTTCCCCATGCGCTAACCGGGGCTACTGCGTCATCAGTACTTGAAGGACCCCGGCGGGCCTGTCAGACGGCGAAAGAGTGGGGGGGGGGGCAGAGTGCGCATGTGTGTGGGGGGGAGGGGGAGGCTGGCGGGGCAAACTCATTTGCAGCTGGACTTGTGTACACAAGAGTACAAGCGGGGCAGCGCTTTTTGTGAGAGAGCATTCACTCAAGAGAATGTGTACCAGAGGCAAATACCACGTGCGAAACCAGAGTACGAGTAGCGCAGCGCTGCAAGAGAGCGTGCACCAGAGTCGTGCAGATGGTAGCTGTGCCTTGACGGATTCCCTTCTTCCGACACACTCGTAACTGCCACGGGTATGGCTGCCGCAACGTTATACTTGCTGACGAAGTACAGTTCGCCTCGGAGTCCAGAGCGACGACTTGCTATGTATCTGCCTTTTTCCATGCCGTGGCTGCCAGCTCGCCAACTCACACATCGAACACCATATATTTAACGCCTTCTAAGTCCACCAAAGCGACTGTGGCGCCAAGGGTTGGGGTTGGGGTGGGGGTGGGGATGCAGATATCGGCATTGCTGTACAACGACAACGCGTGAGACTGTCCCCTGGAGAGTTGTCGTTTGGTCTCGCGAGCAAGGAGGTGGAGAACAGGGAGTGCCCCTACGCTTTACAGTCTTCATCTCCTCTACGGCCGAACTTCATTACGCTCGTCTTTAATCCTTATGCGCGCCCCCCACATTTGGCAAAGTAGGAAGGAACGATTGGCCATCGGTGGTCTGTCCTGTGGGAACAATGCTCCGTCCTCTCGAGGACGCGTGGTCAATGGTCTAACCTCGAAGGCATGCAAACCATGAGAGTACGCTCCCCCCCTACCCTAGCTCTCCCATATGTGGGGCCTCCCGTCCTCTCACCCGCACTGTTCTCCGGTGTCGCACGTAGATCGAACCCGCAATAAACACCACGATAAACACCGCGAAGCATATCCATGCGATCTGCTTCGTTTGATCGACTTGGGCCGACACAGGTACCTGTCAGACGAGCCAAGGAATCGTTGAGGCGGAGGGATGCGATAGGGTATCGCGGAAGACAGATCGAGAGAAGCACGCGAAGCGGGCCTTGCGAAGTGGGATTGTGAACCTTGAGACACGCACACCTACCTGCACACGCGTGATGAGGCAAAGACACGCAGCCAAGACTCGACGACGGTTCAAGCGTCCGGAACTCGCGCCACGCGCACACGAAAGAAAATGACAGATTGATGCTCGGCACGATTATAAAACGAAAAAGTAGCCAACAAATTGAACACCAGGAGTAGCAGGTCCCGGCATGTACCATCCAGAACCAATCCCCAAATTCCTTTCCTTGCAATGGTTGCGACACCTTGCAACGACAACCAAGACCTACGGCAGGCTAGCGCACGAGCCGAGATGCCTGCCAAGCGCTACGTTGGTTGACGAACAGCGGTGCTTTATCTCATTCCACGTGGGTTCAACTTGCAGTCTTGGCGGAAGGGAGGACAAGGAACATCTCGAACATTCTCTGTCGGGGTGTCAAAGTGTAAACCGTTTGCTCACCAACAAGCCCAGAAGAAGAGCTATCAGCAGGCCTCCCAACATGGCCAACAATACCCGTCACTGGCGCGGTTGTTCCAGGCTGCGGAGGTACGTCAAGTAGCGGGGGACGGGGATAAGAGATCAGGCCACCACTGCGTCAGGATATTCTGCTCTTTGGATAACCAGTTTGAAATGCGCGGCGTGTAATCAAGTCACGGGTCAACAACAGGCTCTCGCTCTCTTTGATCCGTTGACACTGGCGAGGTTTTCCGGGCTAGAACTCAGTCGGGTACACACTGGTGTCTTCGTTTGCTGACAACCGCAACCAGTGGGACAATGCACTATACAACACACCAACAACAGAACCCCTCAAGCTTAAAGGGGTGCTGCAATACCAATCGGCGGGCGGCGGCCTGGAACGGCTTGAGAAACGCTGCAGTGCACGCCACTTTACCGCAACATCAGAGCGCGTCTCCGTGGGGTTCGCTCTGCGACGATAGTTGTTGACGTTCCTTTCCCATAAAATAAATATCCGTCGTTTGCTCAGTACCTTCTACCATCCGTCCCGGCCGACTTGACGCGGACGCGACCCGTGGTCACAGCCTAAACACCCCGGGAAGGTACATCACGGACTTTCTACAGAGAAAATAGTTGAAAGCAATAAATATCAACACGTTACGCGATATCAATGAATAAAACCAAAAGCAAGAAGGCTCCGACTGTAGGCATACCATCCCATTCATCCTGGACGTCGGCTTTACACCTGTCGGTATGCTGTTGGCCGCACCACCCGGGGTTTCACGGGATGAAGGCCTTACGGTACAGTTAGCGTTTCTGCAACCTCCGCCTTCATGTTACTTCTGCGGTGCTTGCGGCTATTCTGTACCACTCTTTTCTTGTCGCGACAAGGATTTCGCCTGTTCGTTGTGTGTGTGATTGTTTGTTCTCTCTCTTCCATCTTGTCTCGGGAGTCTTGTTCTCTTCTGCTGTCTTTCCAATACCGTAATTCACGAGCCCATTCAAAATACGCAAGGGGATACATATACGAACACTCTATCGAGTGTATCCCTCGAGAGACCCCGTTGAATAGGAATGGTACCGATGTTGGCGCTGATTCCACCAATGTCATCCGTGAGCAAGAGAGGAACCGCAAGACGGGACATGCACGGTGTCCACCTCGGTGCTGCCGGACTCCCCCTCCTTCTCTCCCTTTCCTAAGGCGGCTCGCAGCAGGCCCGACAGCTGCTCAACTTGGCTCGAGAGGCCTGACACTTTGCCCCCCAGCTCGTTGACCCTGTCTTGCTACTCAACGAGCTGGAGGGTAAAGTGTCGGGCCTCCCGAGCCAAGTTCAGCAGCTGTTGGACCTGCTGCGAGCCCTCTTAGGAAAGGGAGAGAAGGAGGGGAAGTCCGGCGGCGCTAGGGTGGGCGGTAGGCGCTACGCCTGCCCGGGGTCTCCTGGATTAGGGACCGCAGAACGAGATTTACGCCGTCCGCAACACAGGAAGAGGAAGGAAATACCACACCGGGGGCCAGCCCGGTAGTGCCAAGGATCTCTACCGGAGTAAACCAAGAGAAAAATTTAGGGCCTGACAGCGGGGACGTCAGGGGGTCATTCCCCCAAGGTGTGATACCGCAATGCGTGGTGGTGGTGGTGGTCTTGGTGGTGGTCTCATAGTAGCAGGAGACTATTTTTTCCAGAACCCGTTGTACAACAGTAGCGGTGTGCCAGAAACAGCAATGCCGCTTTTTGAAGGGGAACAACGCAACTGTGGGAACTTACCACATGGAGAGGACCGGAACCTCCAAGCTGCGAAAAAAACACATCTACTACTGTAGACGGTCCATTGGCAGGGGACACAGAAAACCATGCACCGGTTGGGACGTGGGAAAACCGAAAGCTTTTATACTGGCAGACGCCTCATTCCCTCTTTTGCACTCGAGGTAGCGGTTTGAGTTCGGTGTAGTGCTTAGCCCGGCCGCTCCATCGGGGTAGGGGGCTCGATGCATGCCGACGGCTTGATTTTAGCTGTGTGTTTTCGCCATATCCATCCCAGGTGAACACATGCCCAGCCTACCGGCGAGACCGCCAGCAAACACATGCCCAGCAGGGAACGGGGGCGCCCCGCTATTTAGCACAACAGAACGTCTCCGGCAACTACGGCATGTAAGGATCACCTTCGGGAGGATTTTAAACTTACTCCATGAAATAGAGCCCGGGGATTCTAATCCCTAACACTAACCCCAACCCCGTACCGCCTACTATAACCAAGCCTAATCGTCGTCGCGAAGGCCATTGGAAAATGAACACCAAGCACCGGCGTGGGGTAAATATTTAGTGCTTACCTGTGGGCATACAGATACACTCGACGGCCATTGAACCATCTCACAATGGCGAGTGGGCTTGACTTGAACCACAACAGCTGGGTTCACGCTCCCAATCCCACAAACACTGAAAACCATCAGACCTCGTTCCTGCCTCTCTGTCCAATCCGCGAACTACTGCAGGTCAAAGCTGCGTGCGGATGAAACTGCTGTGCACTCGAGTATATGGTAATTCGTTGAGGTTTCCCATGAGATTCTCCCCCATTAGCACAAGAAAACATACAGCTTGTGTCATCACGCACAATACCGATGTGTAGCGTCATCGCAGGCGTAGCAGGCGCGTCTCAACAACAGAAGCGCCAAGCGGACGTGACAACCTTGGCTGGTGTTTCGCTGCTGTGCTGTGGTTTGAACGTTCAAATGGAAAAGTCGCAAGTAAGTGAAGTGAGGACAAGCATTACAGGTGAGAATCGGAGTCCGGTAGGAGCTGTACGCGGTTGTGTGGTTTCCTTAAGTACCGGTGGGACCTCTCGCGGTCATAACTCTGCGATGACGGGAGGATGAACTGACAGGATATGTAAGAATTCTGTCACCTGTGACCATGGTGATCTTGGTGTGCAATGATTTAAGGAATAATATAAACACAAACAGAAAGACTACCCATTCGAGATATGCAATGATGTACAAATTGTAGACAATGTACTTGCTTCACTGTTGCTGCTGTAGCTTTGCTTCAGCTCACCCAATACCTGCGCCCACTGTTGTTGCCTTCACTGCCGCCTCTGGCGTTCCTGGACAAGATGAACTCTCCTGGCCCCTGGTCGCGCGTCGCCCAGCTGCTATGCTGCGGGGGCGGGGGCGGCGGCTAGCTGCGCTAGGCTGTGGCAAGTGCGTGCAGAGCACATCAGCAGGCCGAGCAAGAGAGTTCCGCCGCACTTCCCAAATTCCAGACCTCATCTGGGGGCTCCGTGAAACCATTACCCGTGTACGGAGTACAGAGGGGGCTACGGAGATCGAAAACACCCACTCGTTGTCCCCACAGCAATAACTTCGTCACTGCTGCAATAACAATAACTTCAACACATCCGACAGCTGTCGAGGTATTATCTCCACTGGTTAGTCTTTCGCTGTTTGAATATTTAAGACGAACTACTTTTTGTTTCGCTGTCGTTGACTTTCCCGTGTGCGATGTATCTGGTCATGGTGGATGTATGTACTGAACGAATAGCCTACCGTTTTCTACCGATCTTCGCGTAAATTTACGGCTAGATAGTAGTGAGGCCTCTCCTCTCGTGCAAGGAAAATACGCAACTTACGCGCCGAAGAGCTTTTCACATAGAAAGGTGGGCGGGCCTGTTGATGGGCGGGGAGTCGACACCATCATATCCCAGTGAATCCTGTTCGAAAAATCGAAAAATCCAACCAAACGCTTTTAGGTGGTTGTCCGAATAGCGCCCGTGGCTTTTGGCGTGCGGTCCTGCTCGTCCCTTACGAGAAACAGGCCTGTATAATGTTGGAGTTTTTTGTTGTGTTGGCGCTTTGAGACATTCAGCAACACACGAACCACGCGAACACCTCGTGAATGAAAGTCGCGGGACCGCCGAACAAACCAACCAGCAACTCCAGCTTGGGTCGGTGGGGGAAAAAAACATTGAGAACCACGCCGTGTGTGTCCGTCCGTTCGCACGTAAATGCGTGTTCCACGTGTTATTCGTTGTACGGGGCTGTGTTGCTCCATGCAATGGAATCACGTGCACTGGGAAAGACTCCATGCAACATCAGCACACAGACACAGGAACACGGCAACAAACTACCCAAGCTTGTTTCTTGTGCGAGGAATAACCATGCAAGCACTTTACGTATCGTGAACCTTAGCAGCTTCCTCCAACGGAAACACACGTGGCGGGGTCTGCCGGCAACGGGCATCACGTCCATTGAGCCACACCTATCGCACACCGCAAGTAACCAAACTGGCAATACCCGTATTGGGTGTAACGAATGGCGGAGAATACAAGGCATGCAAATCCAGCGACTGCGCACACCTTCTTTTTGCCCACATGTGTTTCTCGTTTGGCAACAAACGTGCCTGGTGCTTACCCACCCCCTCCCTCTCGTCCAAGCAAGACATCCAAACCCGGACGAGGGAAACAAAGTCGGGACAACGCCCCCGTCCTTCGGGCCCCTCCAACATCCAACAAAAGCTGTGGCGCCGACATGACTACTAAATAGTAGAATCTCGCCAACGCCCGAAAGCACGCCAAGCCATCCATCCCTAGGCAGAGGTGCCTCTCCTCTTCTCCCTCCTTCGTCCGCACAATCGCCTCGATAGGCCTATCCCAGCCGATCGTACTACTAGGCGAAATATGCGTCGTGAAGGGCCTTCTCTAAGTTTCGACACATGCCGAAGTTCATTTGCGACTTGTCCATGCATTTCCGGAACGCTTCGAATTCTGTCGGGCACTTGGACGTGACGGTCGACAGTCTGTATCACAGCCGCCGGATTTCGGAAGTGGGAGGCGGGGGGAGGGGGGGGGCAAACGGTCAATCTAATTAGCTTGCGTGGAACGAGAAGTTTGTTGTTGGAAGGAGCAGACCTGAAGATGTCACACGAGAGAGAAGGGTCGGGAGGGGGGGAACAGAGGCGTGGGCAATACCTGTCGATAAAAATGCACACCGTACAACTTCAACAGTTGTATTTGTTTTGCGGCGCCGATCGTGTTTTTTGAGTATCTCCTTATCCATGGATGTGGATGAAAGGACAGTGGTACACGCACACGGCCCTTTCCGGGGGACGGCAAAAAGACTAGCGAGAAAATTTCCCGTCCGGCCATCCAATCTCGGGGAGAAATTTGGACCAAGCGGAGAGAGCACAACAAAAACGTACGTGAGGGGAAAAGGCCGGTTACCGCCGGTCGCGCAGACCTGCGAAGTCCCTAAAGCCCGCATCCGCGTGGAGCCTGCAGCCAGAAAAGGTAGAGGCGTTGGTGTGGCGGACCGGCACAAAAAAAAAAAAACACCGAGAGGTTGATGAAATGGAGGGAGACGTCGCCCGCGGTCCACGCCAGCGAGGAGGGACGAAACTTTCTCAGGGGGGGGAGGGGGGGGGGGGTACTCATGTAAAACGCATGCCGTCGTCGTTAGACCATTGACGTTGCAGCCCTAGGACGACGGGACGGAGTGATACACGCCGGGTTTTCGTCGGCCCAGGCTACGTTTCACAAGGATCCACCAGAAGCTGGTCATCATCCTTGCGTTTGGTCAGGGTGGGGAAGGGGTACTCATGCCTTAGCGGTTAGACCATTGACCACTCGTCCTCGAGAGGACGGAGCATTGTTCCCACAGGACCGATCACTGATGGCCAATCGTTTGCCAAAGGTCGCTCAAAAACATTTCCCCCAGCCCATCTATCCTATCGGCATCACTTCCCAGGCTATCAACCCACTTCTTATGTCCCAGTACAGCTACCATCTTCTTCCTGGCTATGTTGGCTATGTTTGCTCAGGAGGGGGGGGGGTCATGATTCATCGTGCCACACGGCCGTTGTAGAGTATGCTGTTTCGTAACAACAGACAACGGGGTAGGACATGAGCAAATGACGCTCAGATCAACACATCACGAGAAAGAAAATATGGCGAAATAACACCACACGACACACCAGAACCAAATAACAATCGCGTTGCGTACAGAGGTGTGGCGATGAAAGCGCAAGTCCCAAACGAAACGCCCCCGCCGCCGCTCAAACGCGGGACTTCGCACGGCGGCCCACCACCGTGCAAAAGCGCTTTCAGACCCAGTCGCTTTGCACGAACGGAAGCACTACCTCCGCGGGATAAGACGAAGGCACTGCTGCTTCTGTCTCGCGGGTTGACGAAAACGCCACTGATGTTTGTGATGGTGCGGAGCGGAGTCCTCGACAACTTGAGACTAAGAGCTGGAGGAATCATGAGCCCCTACTTAGTTTCGTTGTTTTTCTCAAACCGTCATTGAAAACTTGAAGGCGAGAGGTAACATGAGCCTAGCATTTGCTTACGCACCTGTTACTTTTGCTTTACACACATCTTCCTTCACAATTTCAGAGTGAGAGGTATCATGAGCCTAGACCTACCTTGCACCTGTTATCTAGAAGAATGCTCTACACACATTGCCTTGCCAACTTGCGACTGAGAGGTAAAATGAGCCCTATACTACTTACCACTGCTATCATTGCTATACTAACCCTTCCCCTGAAACAGAGCGAGAGGTATCGTAAGCCTAGCCCTACCCCCCACCTGTCATCTTCGCTTGACTCACACTTTCGTTGACAACTTGAGACTGAGAGGTATCATGAGCCTAGCCCAACCTACCACCTGTTCTGTTCGCTTTACTCACACTTTACTGGTGCACTCCAACACGGCCACACCGAGCTTCATGCAAGCCTCCGGGTCTGAGTTTTCTGCCTTGCACTTGGTAAACGCAAGGTTCTCATCCACGCAGCTCGAGCCTATCAGAAAGGGTTTCCAAGCAGGGGGGGGGGCGTTGGAGGGGGGGTGAGGTTTGCCCATAGCCGTGCATGCCGTAGTCGTTAGACCATTGAGGGCGGGGGAGGGGGTTACGACACTCCTTTTATGGAGCTGGTCTCTTCCCTAGTCCACAGATACGGAGCCCCGCAAATTTCATCATATTTTCGACTGCCTTGACTTCTTGGAGCAAGATCACCACCGGCATTCTCTGCAAGAATCGGACTAGATTTTCAGGAGTCCTCGGCGTCATGGCCTTGCGCAGCGCCAGTGGACGACTGCTTGGTTGCGTCGGCTTGTCACCGCAATGGCTCAAAAATGAAACTTCACCCAAAAGCTTTGCTGTAGAGATGAGCACATCTCTTGTGGCTGACGGGAACGGCATGTCCTCCTCGCCCATGTTATCCTTGAGTTCGGTGGCCTAAGAGAAAAAAAACGCAGCAATAAACGGCAAGAAGCGCGCCACGGGTGGGAGCGAACAGTTTGTTCAGCGCTTGCAAAATAACGACCATGGGGAGCAAGAGGTGAACACAGCATAGGGAGGACAGCTCGGCAGACTACCTTAGATCGCATCTCGAACAGTGACACTAGACTGGTGCAGCAAGCAGCACCGGCTACGGTTTCAGGGGGGATCGTGACAACCCGAAAGTATCTCAAACCTTTGAAGCCTGGTTTACTTTACGCAGTGCATGTATGTACTTGGTATTTTTTCATGGCCGTGACAAGCTTTCTTCACTCTCTTACTGCTACAATCTATCCGTAGTTCCATCTTGAGTAATCTCCCGTGAACATGAGCCGCTACTTCTCTTGGCGTATAAGATGTCCGGCTGCTGTTTCGTCTTCGTGTTGCTTCATTCTCTAAAATTAGTCTAGGTGGATGCCGACCTCGATCCTGCGCTCTCGTAAAAATCGGCATACTCCTGAGGCCATGCTAAGCCAAAAGGCATCTACTTCGAATAGGGTATCGACGGGCACTGAAAGCTACCGCGCAACAGATTACCCGGCGTGCATTACTGCTGTAATCGTGCAACCGAGTACAGCAGGTAGAAGTGCAACCGAGTACAGCAGGCAAAAACTTTCGACAGCAAATCGAAGCTACAAATAGCAGTATTGTTGGCAAGCAAAGTCGGCACATCACAGTGCACAGCAGTACAGCCACCAGCACCACGCTAATGAGAATGTACCACGCAGTACTTCACATGCCTGACTGATGGGTCGGTCGCAACTTACCCGTCATCCGAAACCACCGTCTCAAAACCCGCATAACACAACTGGCTTGCAAATGCATGCGTGCATGACGACTACAGCAGTAGTTCCTATCGTCGGAAATGAAAAACGCTGGGAATTGTACGACGTGGTTATGCTTTGCCACACAGCAGACACATACACATCTACCCCACAGGTGAGTAAAACGACGTCGCAAGCTATTTGGGAATAGCCGCATATAATGAGAAAACAGTAGCGCCGCTGGAAATAGCAGTAGGCACGGGTAGTTCAGTGGCTGCTGCATGGACATTTTCTACCTTAAAACCAACGAAGCTGCTGTTGAGCCCAGAGGACAGAGTCGGACCCTATCGTTTGTTACTAATGATTCTATGTGCCTATAATGTACCTTCGTCGGGCACACCGCGCGCCGGTTACGCATGTACACTCGTATGCATTTTCCAAGACCGTCATCAACACGCGGGTCTGGCTCTTGTGGTCGTTTGGAAGAGGCGCAGCTGTAAGAAGGAAGGCTGTCGCAAAGGTGCACACTGCTTGCTAGCCACGCGGCGGCCAGCCTGTCTACAGAGCGCCCGCCCTCCAGAGCGGGGCAAAAGGGGTTTGGCGTCCGTCGTGTTTGCCCTCTGACCCCCTTTTTATCTCTCTCAGATAGCGGCAACTCTGTTGCGCGAAAAGCGGGCCCTTGCCTAGCAACGCTGCAACACGCGGCAGCTCGTGAAGCTTCAATAATTGCGGTGGCGCGGCTGTGCCCGTAGCGTTTCTCGTGTGTATGTGACCCAACATGGCGTTCGCACCCCAGAATGAGCGAGATGGCAACAATCACGAGGTCCCGATTTCGGGGGGGGTTCCTCGGATGCACAGCTGCTCGAAAACATAGCTTGATCCATTCGCTTTGATCCAGCCAACGAATCATAGCCATAACCACAATCGACCCTCCTTGTAGCTCACCTTTTCGCGTACTCCGACAAGGACACTTGTTATCTCTATATGCAGGCGCCCCTCCGGTCTCTCGCTCTCTCGGGGAAGGGGAGGGGGGGGGACGGTTAGGAAACATCCCCCTTGGAAACCCTGACACGCGTTGCGCGCCTTTTTTCCCTTCTCTGAGAACGTGGACTGTTAGATAGGCGTTGTGGGCACACACACCGCGTGGTTGACGGCGTGTCTACCTCTGCGTGGCCACACAGAGGGTAGCTGTGATTTCCACTGGTCACGAGGTAGGGAGGCGGAGCGTTCGGTCTGCCACGTAGCCTTTCCAGCTTGGAGGTTTGGTGGAAGGTGTAGGTGTGCAAGAGACACATTCGGGCCATTGGAGAATCCACAACAGCGCGGGCGCGCGAGGACTTGGGGGGGACAAAGTTCTCGACAAGGGTGGCGTGGAGGTGGTGCCGCTTTCAATCAACGGCTTGGGTGTTTGGGTGTGGCGGGGGCGGTAGAGAAAGGTGAGTTGGGTGAAACTTGTAAGGAAAAATGAAAAAAAAACATCCCTGTTTTTGGGGGGAGCTCTAAGAGTTGGCGCACAGCGTTTCCCTGCTTTGGGCGCCGGGCGAGAGCGACAGAGAGAGAAGAGAGAGGAGAGATAGAGAGAAAAGGGAAAACAGCATAGGTGTAGGTGACCACCGCGGCCTAGGGTGATCCTTGCATCTAAGCCGTTGTCGAGCCCGCTCGGCCCCTTGGTGATGTTTGCTTTCGGCCAGGGAAGGTGCGGCATGTGATGGGATTGATTATTATGCCGCCCTAAAGGATGTTTATCACACACACCAGACACACACACACTTCTGCAGTAAAATTCGAGGCAGATGTGACGGCTGCATGGTCCGACAAGTTGCGCGCCCTCTCCACCTGTAGTGGTTGGCAAGGGTACCAGCCCCCGCACTTGGAGCTCGGCGCGCTGGAAATGTTCTTGTCTCCGTAGACCACGTCGTCTGTATTGCTTCTGCCCCGCCGCTCGAGTTTTTTTTATCCCCGGTGCTGTCAGCTGCTGCGTAATGAGTTGACTTCTTATTTTTGGTACATATGCCAGCACACGGAACTATCGAGACAGATTGTCGGGCCGCAAATGTATGTCACACATCACCTTTCGGGCTTCATGTCACTCCCAACTCTGATTGTTTTTCGTCATGTATGATTCGGGACGTCGCCTTTAAAGCCGCCGTCATGGCGAGCACGCAGGCGGTGTTAGCACCGGGGTTGAAAGGGCAGCAGATGCTATCCTATCCCCAACGATTGTGTGTATTGATGTTTACAGATGTCAAATCCTCCTCTTGTACCCCCGATTGAACGCAAGAATGTCTGTTCCTTTGTAGCAAGGCAGACCGTTGTTGTTGTCGCGCGTTTCTACTCGACAACGAGCGTACACGTTTCGGTATTGTGGGGAGAGGCAGCCGTTGGCACGTGCGTGTTCCCTCTCTTTGTCGCGGCCGTCTACACTTGATACTGTCGCGCGTTACAGGTCCAAGAATAATTATTGGCTCTTTAGACGCGGGAAGTAGCAGCTCCAGCAGTGACGAAGGCCGTGTCTTCGTATCTTCCTCTCCTTTCCCTCTTGTTGTCGTGAAGAAACACCCCTCTGAGACGCACGTTGTTTCCGTTTTTTGTTTTGCGTGTTTGATCTAACGTGGACTGTATTTTCACTCAAGTATTTTCACTCGAGAGGGAGAGAGACTGACTGCTGTGGCAGCAAGCTACATTTAGGAGTCTAGCTTCTCACCTCCGTGTCGGTGTGTAGTGTCGAAGCCATGCATGTTTTGTTTGTGAGGTGGAATTTCGCACGAAATGTTGTGTCGTTGAGGTGGAGTTTCGTGTGTTGTGGCGACCGAGCCCGTTCCATCCACCTACAGCAGCACACCCCTAGACATGATGTGCCTCACGCTAGAACAGCTTTGACGTCCTTTCCTCGTTTTCCTGACTTTTGTCACCGTCTTCGTTTTTTCCACATCCCCCCCCCCCCCCCCGTCCAACGATAGGTAACCAGCAGGGAGGGGCGTTGGTTGGGACACCATAACCATCACTGCCCCTTTACGGAACAAATATTTAAAAGCGTCAAGGGGGGGGGAAGAGAATAGAGGTGGCGTGTCGGGCGCGAGACTCACGCTTTCTTCGTAGTAGGATCCCGCGAGCTCCGCGGGTCCTACCACCACCGGGTGGGAACCATTGGTGGGCCTAGGATGAAAGGGCTGTTGAAACAGTTCAAGAACAATGTCCGTTTCCCGACGAAGGACGGCGGCGGCGGCGGCAGCGATAGCACCAAGGGCGGCACCGGCGGCAGCACCAGCACCAGCACCGGCAAGCACGGCACCAGCACGACCGTGGTAAATACCAGCAACCTGAACGCCAGCCAG